ACCTACCCTGAAAGGCAGGCGCTGAAATTACTGCATCCAGTTTTGGTCACCACATTACAAAAAAGAGGTTGAGATTTTGGGGGGGAAAGTACAAAGAAGAGCAACTAAGGTGATTGAAGGCCTGGAGACAAAAACATACCAAGAACAGTTGCAAGAATTTGGTATGGCTAGTCTAGAGAAAAGGACTAGAGATGACACGCTAGCACTGCTTCAGTATTTGACCACAAAGACGAGGGGGTCAACTTATTTTCCAAAGCACCAGAAGGCAAGACAAGAAACAATGGATGGAAACTAATCAAGGAGAGAAGCAACTTGGGGTTAAGGAGAAACTTCCGAACAGAGAGGACAACTGGAACAGTTGTGGGTGCTGGAGGTTTTTAAGAAAAGACTGGACAGCTACCTATCTGAAATGGTATAGGATCTCCTGCTTGACTAGAAGATCTCTGAAGTCCCTTCCAGCTCTATTCTGATTGATTGTATGATGCCAGTGATACAAGATGCAGTAGAAAGGGCACAAGACTAAACTGCTTTCTGCTTCATAGTTGTTTTTTGTTAATAGTGGAAAGACTGAGAACCATTTCTTCCCTTTTTAGGAAAAAAGCTATTGCCATTCTGAAATGCATGTTGCAAGGCATATCCTTTGATTACGTCTAACACAAGAGATCTGAATTTGTACAGCTAAGCTCTGCCTCAATGTTCAGAGTTCCTTAATACATTCTGTGGGATCAAATCATCATCCAGGAATACCATTAAGAGGTGATGAGATTTCCATTTCAGATATTGGTGTTACTAGAAACAGAAGTTAAAAAATTAGCCTTCAATAGTCCCCATAAGCACTCTTTACCAAATAGTCCTGCACTTATAATATCGCTGCCAATTAACCATGCCAGCCGTATTTCCAGGTACTAATATTTCATGTGATTTTGATTCTATGTCTGTTTATACAACCATGGATTTACTAGCTTTTTTGACTGCTGCCGCATAATGCTGGCTCATGTTAAAGTGATCATCCACTAGGACTCCAAGGTCCCTATATCTGTATGTAAACCTCTTAAATCAATACTCCTTCAGGAAATATGTTAAGCAGCAGTGAATGAGCAAATGCCTTCATTAAAAATTCTTTGAGAAATTAAGCAACTCTTTACATTAAAGGAGGATAACTGAAGCTATAAACATTTTTTTTAAAAAAAATGAATGAAATCCGAAGGTGTCATGAGCACCTTGTTAATAATGGTCATGAAACTAGCTGTTGTTATACTTATCAGCATTAGACACCTCAGTGTCAGCCAATGCCAAGAAATGATGAGTAAATGGTGCAAATGCCATTGCTGTGCCAAATCCAGAGGTGTCATGTAGCAGAGGGTCATATAGGTTTTCACAGGGCTCCATCAACAGTCCTACAAATGTCACATTGGCATTTATGACCTGTGTTTTATATGCATTTTACATTGTATAGCTGTTATGTGGAGACGAGCAGACAGAAGCAATGTTGAGTTTCAGATGACAGTGGTATGTCCCAACAAGAGATTTTAAGCTTTAGAATGAAACTCTACCCTATCAAATTTGCTTTAGATCTGTTCACAATGTTTCCTCAAATGCCTTGTAAAATAGTAATGTCTGGTAGTAATTATCAAACACCATACACACTGTTTACAGTAGAGTTGTAATATTTAAAAAAATGTTTTTGTACCGAGAAGTCAAATACGTCTGAAAAGTACCCAAATGTCTGCTGTATTCTATGCCAACAGGACAATTCAGCCAAAAATGCAGAAAGAGAAGATTGCCAAATAAAAGAAAATATAATAAATTGATAATGGCTTCTATCTTGACAGAAAATGAAAATTATACCTCAATGTGTGGCCACTCATGTGGACACAAAAGAATGTCTTACAGGCAATCATTTTATTTCAGATAACATGCCCTGACAGTTGTGCAAGGCCTGCTGGCTTGATTTCACTTTCCATAAAAGCAGCAACCATACCCTACAAAATGGTTTACAATCATATAATTTATGCATCTCTCTCTCTCTCTCTCTCTCTCTCTCTCTTCCTCTCTCTCTCTAATGCACACACAATTTCAGTAAATCATCTCAAAGCATACTGCTGTAGTTTTTGAGGAGTGGGTTGGAAGTCTACACTAAAAAATTCCTTCAAAGTTGCCACAATTGGATCCAGCCACTCAACCTAGTTAAGGGCACTGAAGGGGGGGGGGGGGACAATTTGAATCCAAAAATATTTTTTTCTTCCCAAACCAATCTCTCAACCAAAATATTCTTCATGCTTGTTACAGTTTTTAGGTTAGTGAAATTCCAAAAGACACAATCCTGAAGCAACTTAATCTGGAGTATACAAAACAAACTTTTATTTGTATGCATGTTGTCAGCAGTAGGCTAACTCTGATTAAGCCCTAGGATCAATATGTTGCTAAATGAATGAGCCCATGGTAAGAATCCTTGCTTTGTCTGTTTTCTTCTTCCTCTTGTGCACTGGAATATTCCTTCTATGGCTTAGAAATCAGCAATGGTTGTGGTGTGGGGGGAAAGCCGGAAAGAGAATTGACTATATGGGTGGTGCATGAATGTGTATGTGAGGGGAGATTTTTTTTTTTTAAGGAAACAAAAAGAAATGATCTCACCCACTGATGGGAAGCACTCCCAATTCCTATATTTTCTATAATGCATCATGTCTCTCAAACAGAAAAAGAGTCCCTGTCCTATTTTAGGCTTACTATATTCTTGAAAATAAACCATGGTCTGGGTCTGATATACACAATTTTACCTGGAGGAGGGATGGCGCTATTGTTACTGGTAGTGATCTGTGTATGGATGGGTGTGTGTGTGTGGGTGCCTGCGCGCACTAGCCTTGACTCCTGTTTTCATGGCAGTATTTTCAGAATTGGCTTGCCTTCTAGGAAAAAAAATGACAAGCACAAGTTTACTTTAGTTTACTTTATTGTCATTGCATGTCGTACAACGAAATCAAACACCATCTTCAGTGCACATCATGACCATGACAATAAACACAAACACACATCCTTCACCCTTCACACATTGAACCGGAAACCCCCGACACCACATCAATACTGCACTATACAGCAGAATTCAAAAGAGCTACTGCCCTGGGATAGAAGCTGTTTTTCAGCCTATTTGTGCTTGTTTTTATTATTCTGTACCATCTACCAGATGGTAATAGTTCAAAAAAAGGGTTCCCAGGATGAGATGGATCTTTGAGAATGTTTTGAACTTTCTTAAGGCAGCGGGAGCTATAATGCTCTTTCAAAGAGGGGAGAGGGAAACCAATGAACTAACTTCTGGGCAATGACATTAACCCTCTGGAGTGCTTTCCTATCTGCCATTGTGCAATTGGCAAACCATACAGAGGTGCAGTATGTTAAAATGCTCTCTATGGTACAGTGGTAGAAGGTCACCAGCAGTTTTTCATTCAGTTGTTGTTTTCTAAGAAGTCTCAGGTACTATAATCTCTGCTGGGCCCTTTTGATCAGGGCTGCAATGTGGGCACTCCAGGTCAGGTTCTCTTTTAGGGTAACACCCAGAAATTTAAAACTGGCCACTTGCTCCACTCGGTCTCCATTGATAAGCAAGGGCTGGATGTCTGATCTGTTCCTTCTAAAATCCACTATAAGCTCCTAGGTCTTATTGGTGTTGAGGACCAAGTTATTGTCTCCACACCACGAAAGCAACTGGTCAACCTCATCTCGGTAGGCAGACTCATCCCCCCTGGAGATAAGTCCCACCACTGTTGTATCATCTGCAAATTTAGCAATAGTATTACTAGCATGAGTGGGAATGCAGTCATGCACATAAAGAGTATAGAGTAAGGGACTCAATACACAATCCTGTGGTGTACCAGTATTAAGAATAAGGGCTGAAGAAGTAATCTGACCCTCTGTGAGCGGCCAAACAGGAAATCCATAATCCAAAGGCAGATTGAATTAGAAAGCCCAAGGTTCAGAAGTTTAAACAGTAGTCTATGTGGAAGAATTGTGTTAAACGCAGAACTAAAATCCACAAAAAGCATCCTCACATAGCTCCCCCACTGTTCTAGATGAGTCAGAGTAGTGTGAAGAGTGATGGCTATAGTGTCCACTGTAGATCTATTTTTTTCTGCAAGCAAACTGGTGTTTATCAAATATTTGCGGAAGACCAGAAATGATGTGCCGGCAGACCAATTTCTCAAAGCACTTCATGATGACAGGAGTGAGTGCCACCGTCTGTAATCATTGAGGTTATTGATAAGGAACTTCTTTGGCAGCGGAACAATGGTGGAAACCTTCAAACAAGATGGAATAGTGGACTGGGATAAAGATCTATTGCAGATCCTGGTAAAGACTCCAGCCAACTGATCAGCACAGTCTTTAAGCACTCAGCCAGAGATACCGTCAGGACCAGCAGCCTTTCTAGGGTCCACAGCCCCCAGAATGCTCCTCACTTCCTGTTCCTCCACAATGAGGTGGGGGCTACAATTGGCTGGAGTTGTGTTTTATCTGTCTCTGATATCTCCACTTCAAAGCGAGCAAAGAAATGATTCAGTTGTTCAAGTCACCCAGTTGGCTTTGTGCCTAAGCAAGGGCTAGAATTCACAGACTCCTGGTTTCTGCTGGAGTCCACTGGGAGAAGATAGATTTTAACCCTATCATTCAACTTGTACGATTAAGTTTGTAACAGTTAATTAGGGTGGGTGAAGGGTAAACTTGCTTAGAAGCTTCACTAGTTCTGATGCAGGAAAGTTAGTTTTTTCTACTCTATTAAGGAATTGTAGTAAGGGAATGGCAATCTTATTTAGGTTTATTGAGAGTGGAGCTCCTCCCTTAGCAGAGGAGTTTTTCTTTTTGTTAAGGAAAAATATCCTTGTATAAAACAAATTTGTTTATGATTAGGGTTATTCAGAAGAGAAAATTAAAACCCTGAAGATATTTTGGGGAAAAAAATTCTATTCCGTATTTTATACTTAAAGGTTATTTTGAATTCATAAGTTTCTCACCATCCTTCATCGTTCTCCACTTCAGGTTCAGGTACTTCATCTTCAGGTGTTTCTGATATTGCCTGGTTTAGCTTTGATTTGAATCGATCCAGTAATGCCAGTGTCTGAAATTGAAATATGATGCTTAGCACAAGCCCTATACACTATGCCTTACACAAAGGTGCTTTTTCAAAAGGCAACTGGATTTTCTTTGTTCCTCCTTGAAAATATTTTGTTTCTCATCCAAGAAGCTTCTTTAGTTCTAACTGAGTGGTGAAGAATGGAAGGATTTATATTTATATAATTATATATAATTTATATAACCAGGTTTGAAAGAGGGGTCAAAGGGGCTGTCTACATTAATATAGAACAGCCTTCTCTCAACAGAGGGAGAGTTATACAACACCACAAATTCCTGTTTACAACCAGTCCTTTCAGCAGTTCCAAAAAGGTTCCACACCCATTTGCACTATCCAGGTGACCCTGAGGGCACACATAAACCTTCAAGTGGCCTCAATGAGTCTCAGAAAGAGTGCTAACACCCAGACGACTATGAGGAATATAAATCCTTCCATTCTCCACCATTCAGTCAGAACTGAACAAGCTTCTTGGATGAGGAGCAAAACAGCTTCAAGGAAAAACAAAAAAAGTCCAGTTGCCTTTTGAAAAAGCACCTTTGGAACAACCATGACCAGGATGACTAAGAATCTACACAGACTTTGTGCCTTACTTAGTATTAGTGTTCACAATACAGAATTTGTAAAGTGTTGTATTTTTGAAAAAAATACTGAACTATATTTTTTAATGTACTTATTTTATCAAATAAATTTTTGTCTATTATTCTTCAATGAATGTAGTTCCAATGAACGTCGTTGAGGCCACATAGAGGTTCACTGTCTATACAGCTATTCACTATACCTTACAATACAAACATACTATAAGGTATAGCTTAGGTTTGTATACATCTTTAAGTATTGGAATGTTCCCCCCCAAAATCATTTATGACAGAATTATTTGCCCATTGAATTATGTTGGTAGGGAACACCTGATTATGTTCCAAAAGGAATAATCATTTCATTCAATCAATGTATACAGGTACTAATCATAAAGAACTTATCCACTGCAATTATTTAAAATACTCTGTGGTCACATATTGTCAGAAAAGATGAATAGCACTGGCAAAATGACTTTAGTGTGACATTACTGACCTCCCCAGCGAGAAAAACTGCATTCCTGCTCAATTCCTAAAAGACTGGCACATCACTAAACTGACAAAATAGTGATAATTATAAAAATAAAAATAAATAGCACCTTGTTTTCTTGGTGATTGCTATCAATGTGCAAAAATCTTAAAAGAAATGCAGTTGGTACTTGGTGACAAAGCATCCAAGGACAATCATATTAAGTGTACAAAAATCCAATATGTAGGATTTAACTACTATATATATCTGCATCTGTTCACCATACTACAGAAAATCCGCAGAGGATTCAGTGGATGTTGGAGACTGTGTCTATGGACCTATCATAGAGGTTGGACATACCAACAGAGAGAGTTTGTCAATGGCTTATTTATTAGTCTGATGAAATATTCTACTCTATAAACAGCAGCATGTGCTGAATCAGGTACAAGTAAGTTGCAAAGTATCTGTAGCTAAGAAAAGACGTTTTCATATATTTGCCTACTGAAATATTTCTAGCAAGGGCTCATGTATTCAGAAGGTGCCCCTCACCGCTGCACAGATGACAGTGACTGTGCCTGTCACTGAAAGATAATTTATCACCACAAACAAAACACATCCAAAAAGAAGGAACGGAGCATGAGTCTATAAACCAGCAATCATTAGAGTGTGCTTTGAAAGAGGTAGACTTCTACTAAAACACCTTCACTAGCTGTAAAACAAGTTTTGAATATAGCTCTGTGAAGATGCAGTATACTGTTTAAAAAGTATAACAAATAATTCCAGCCTTCTGCTTTCACTATTCTGCTTGGCGTCAAGCCTATAGATTTGTTAATATGCTTTAAAATTAATGTAAGCATTCAGCACACAAATTAAATTCTAAAGAAAAAGATGAAATAAAAATAAACCCCTCTTTCCCCCTCCTCCATAATGTAAAATAACAAACTTGTCTTAGATATTTCTGTGAATGTAGAAATGGAGTTAAATAATTTGGTTCTGTCTAATCTTTTTTGGAAGGTGGAATATGATCTTAAATGAACGTCTTTGTTCTTTTTGAGTAAATATAGCACTTACCTGTTCTTCACGAGAAGTTCCTTTCTTTGGTTGCTGCTTCCTTAATTCTTCATATTTCTTCTTTTCTTCAAGATATTCTGCAACAATGCTGTTTGGAGCAGCTTCCTCTTCTCCATTTAGAAACCAAAGAAAACACACATTTTATTCAAACATAATTGTGATACTTAAGTTTACATTAGTCATTTTACATATACATCTTAGTCCCAAAGGTGCTTTTTCAAAAGGCAATTGGACTTTTTTTCCTGAAGATGTTTAGCTTCTTATCCAAGAAGCTTCTTCAGATCTGATCAAATGGTGGAGGATGATAGGATTTATACTCCTTATCTACTCATTTGCATTCTTTCTTAAAGTCTTTGAGGCCACTTGGAGCTTTATCTGTGTACTCAGGGTCACCTGAATAATGCAAATGGGTGTGGAACCTTCTTGGAACTGTTGAAAGGATTGTTTTGTAAATAGGAGATAGATGGTATCAGATCTTTCTCCTTCTGTTGAAAGAGAGTTGTTCAATCTTAATGTAGATGGCACCTTTGATCCCTCTTTCAAAACAACAATCCTCCCTGTCCAAAATATCGTCTTTGCTGCCTTCAAAAGAGTGACCTTTGTCTTTCAAATGCAGATTGACTGCTGAATCTTGTCCTGATGGATTTGATCTCCTGTGCCATGCATTTATGAAGAGGTTGTTTTGTTTCTCCAATGCACAGACCTGTACATGTCTCATAGCACTGAACTGCATATAACATATTGATCAGTTTGTGTCTGGGTGTTTTATCCTTGGGGTGGACAAGCATCTGACAAACTGAAATCCAGGCAATTAGCAAATGAATGTAATCAGTGTAAAGACAGTCATTATTGATTTAGAACTTCTAGACTAATTCAACCATTAATGTTCTGTGGACAATATTATCCAGAGATGGCAGGCAGGCAGACAGACACACACATATATACTCACTCTCTCTCCCAGCCAAAGAGGAAACACATCCAACTGTTGCTAATATAATAAAGTGTAATACTTTATTATATTATCTACATTAACAGAATCTCACAAGTCTGAAACTCCAAATCTCCTACTATTTTCTTTATAGCCTGAGAAGCTAGGGAGAGTCCCTTCTGAGCTTCTTTCTGTGTCTATTATGTAGCTGCAGGTTGAGTTCCCTAGGCAATATTTTTTTGCCCTACTTTCAAGATCTTTTTCACATGCCATTTACACACCTAGATAAATATGTGCTGCTCAAAAGGAAAGGGAAACTGGAGGACCAGATACACTTCACTAAAACTTTGCCAAACAGCCAAACTGTGGTACAGATTGTCTGACTTGAGTACAACTTCAGCTAATAAACTGGCCCCAAATTTCCACATATGAGTTTTACATTCATGTTTTATCAAGATAGAAATATATACATAGATATACATGGTGGAATGAAGGGAATATATGCACTATGTAATATTACTAGTAATATTTTTTGCTCATTGAGCTGGATGGTTACCAAGAGAATAAATAATGACTTAAGACTTCTATTTGCCCTTAAGACCACTCCCAAGGCAGTCAAATAATGAAGCTTAGTAAAATCTCCCAATGCTACCAGCTTGGTATAATAATACCTTCTGTAACTAAGAATCATCCAAACTCCAGTCAGGTAGGCAGTATAGAAGTTTTTTTAAACACAGCTACTCAGTCAATGGTGTTGATCTAACAGGCTAACTTTTGTTTCCAAATGTATTTCTATCCTAAAACAGGCTTTAATCCAAATTGAAGTACATTCCACTTATGAAGATTTTAGAATCCATCCTCTATTCTTTTATATGCTCTACTTGCCAATTTTTCATGAGCCTCAAAAGCACTTTTATTTAAAGAAGTATTGACAAATGTTTTAATGAATTTGTTTTTGTGCTATGAAATTGTTTTTGTTGTTTTAGCTGAATCATTTTTTTTATTTTTTTTTCTTAAATAGAGGTTGTTTTGACTTATTAGAGAAAATAGTCTAAATATTTTTCCCCAAACAATAATTTCTAAACAGCAGACAGAATGTTCCCTTCGCCAGCCAGTTAGCAGAAATTACCAAATTGGAGTCGCTAAGCAAGAAAAGATAGTAACAAGAGTTTATCATGGTCTGTCAGCTAGATACTATCAGTACAAACAAAATCAATGAGATAATATGTAAAGACCTTAAATTAAAGGTTGAATAAGAGTCCCCTAAGTGATGACTATATTTAAGATAAAGTTCTCTAATCTAGTACACTCTACAGGTCATTGTTCAATAATACACACACAGGAACTAAATTTAAAAAAATAAGAAAAATGCAAATGTAATATAATGCAATTCATTTAAAAAGGGTGATAAGTACTTAAAAGGAAATCACATGGTTACATTAAAACCAGCACTAGATCATGCATATAAGAAACAAATGCTTCCTTCTTCCTTGATCTGCAAGATGAGATTTCCTGCTTTCAGTGATACTTTATCTTAAGCTAAGTAAGTCTTTTATTTAGTGCCCAAGATTAGTCTACAGGTTGTTGAATGATGCTGCCTTCAGGACTTGCCTTTTTAGCAACAGACTATTGCAATCTAATGTTCAGTAATAACTATTGACAGCTTTCCTGTTTAATCCTGTTATTTTACCTGAGAAAACCAAAAATGAATACAACAGTGAGAAGTACATTTCCTCCTCCTAATATAAAATTAGGTGTCAAAAATATTTAAAAACTGTTGGCACTTGCATTTCTGCTGCTCTGATCTCTAAGTTAACTGCTATGGAAATGTAGAAATTAAAGCTGCTTTTAAAATATTTGCACTGCCTAAGATATTTAAAAAATTTAACAACATTGTTACTTCCTAGTTTTATGGGTAAGAATGCAACAGCGTTCTATACAACAGACATATTTCAAAGGAAGGACATTATTGATGGGCTAAAATATGGTAACCAAGTAGCAGTAACAACACGTACTATATGCTTGCATCTAATAGACAGATTGTGATCTGCCCTCAGGCACTTGTTTTCCTCACATACACATCTTATATGTAATAATTTAATTGGACAGTGCTGACAAGTAGTGAAGCAGTGCCAACTCTTTTCTACAAAGAAAATCTGAAATTATTGCTGGCCCAAGAATATTTTCTTTAAAAACAACAACAAAGAAATAATACACCACGATTGTTAGGAAAAATACTATTATGTTTAGTTTTAAAATGTATCACAGTGACTTTGAAGTCGAGGGACTCATAAAATGCAAAATCAATAGCAGAATTAATGGCAGAAACTTAGACAATGTATCAAGATGTGCAGTCATAAAATATATATAATTGAAAAGAGTAAGTCAGCTTATTACATTAAAATATTTGTAGATGGTTGTGCAACTGCATAGATCTCCATATATTAATTGGCATGTTTAAACCAGGACAATGGTTGTACCATAAAAACAGAGTTTGGGGAAGGAAGCTGTAAAATAAGAAAGCAGCATTTCAGTTATTTGGCATGAAATTAGACTTGCATCCAGACATTTATCATTCTATAACTATAGCAATGATTATTGCTATTATTGCAGTAATCCAATGTATGAATAACAAACAGTCTGGCAGCTAACAAAGATTATTCTGAATGCTTTGTTCTGGTTAAAGGTGGCATTGAAACATTCTTATAAGTAATATGAATCTGGGGAACACACAAATGCAATTTGCAGGGCTTTATTCCACAATCTAATGGATTATGGAATATTTCCCCAAATTTCAGGGGATGTGTTTGAATAAACAAGTCAGCTCTGATTTTGGTGCAAACCAAGAAAAGTGGCCAGGAGCCAACATTGTAAATATGTATAAGATAAAAGGCAAGCTTTTTTTAATAGTATCAATAAAATTTGTTGAGGGACCTCTCTGTCTTTCTCACCTATCTTTGATCATCTCCAAAAGACACCGCATCTCTGACTTTATCTTTCAATAAATTGTACAGACAGCATTCTATGTCTTTCATGGGCATAATATAGTAAGACACAATAACTGAAAATGTTGCTCAATATTCAAACCTGTTGGTAGTTCTCCTCAGATTTTGTTGAAACATAGAAAATGGATGGCAGAAAAAAAAGTATATATGACAGAAGCTTGGAATAAACACAGGTCCATACACACAACACACCTATACACCCACACACCCACACACAGCTTAGAGTAGGTTATGAAAACTGATGATTTTACAAATGTTGAATTTTACTCTTTGTCTTTATTCCCAAAACTCAAATTGCTTTTACCCTACATTTTTGCAATTCATCACAGAGATGTTGTTTTGATAATGCACAAAAAAAGGGAATTGACTAAGGAATAGAACATTTGTTTAAAGCTTCATTTGTATAGGATTCAGCTTTATTGGATGCTAATTTGAATCAAACACTTATATTCTAAGCCACAAGAAGAATGGTTTAGGAATATAATTTAGAGGGGTTTCTAAGCAAACAAATAAATCTACCATATTTTGGATCAACCAGGTCAACAAAGCAGTTGAGACTAATTTATGGCAAGTCATTACAAGAAGAAAAAAACAGAATAAAACAAGTATATCCTCACTACTGTACATAAATGGGAAAAGGCTGTGCTATTGAATTTGTGCCCAGTGTTAACAGATATTCCAGCTGAATTGCCAAAATAACTGGAGAAGAATCCCTCATGAACCCTGGAACCACCACTACTTTACTAAACCTTATTTCTCTTGCTTATAATCCAATACGGTGCTTTTGGGCATTCTCTTCTGCTGGTTGCCAGAAATGTCCCTTTTTAGCTTCTTAAGAATTCAAATGATAGAAGTGTTTCTATCTTTTTCATGTATCTATTTCCATTGGATTTGGTAGACACTATAGTCTATGTGTATCTGCTGGAATACCCCTTTTTTCTTGCCTCCTATAGCACAAGATCACCAGTCTTTATTGTTTACTTGTATAATGTCAATGTGTTAGACATATAACTATAATAACAATGTTAATGGCTTCTTTAGGTTTACTGTGAACATAAAGGTAAAGGTTTCCCCTGTGAAAATGCGTAGAGCGTATTCTTATAGTTTTCTTTTTACTCAAACAAAATCAGGAAGAGATGCATTATCATAATTATTACTATAATATCCAGGATCTATATTCTTGATGCAACATATCAAAATATGTAAACCTGTAAAAACTAGTATAAAACTGGCTTGCTGTTTTTACTTTCTGCATGAAGGAATAAGCAAAATGGGAACAATTGGGCTTATCTGTACCAACATGCTACTGATGAACAAGAAGTCAGATTAAGTAGAAATGAGAATGTTATGCTCTCCTAAGGGGTTTGAAAGCATAGTGATAGCTATCATTACTTAATTAACAGAATTTTCTCCTCCTCCCCCTGCCAATACATGTTTGTTGAAACCTACTATTCTAGGCAGGCAAAACTCAGTTTACCTAACTCATATAGAATAAGCTGTTGGGAAAACCAGCATTAAAATGATCTTTTCTTAGACGAAGTTGAACAATATTTCTTAATAGCTTAACATCATGCTTTATAGAAAAATATATTCTATTTATTAGAATACTATTGCAAGAAGTGATACTTTGCTTCATCTTTACCTTCAAACTGATCCTCTTTCACTTTTGAGGGATTTTCTTCTTTCTTTTGCTTTGCCTTTATTAGTTCACGTTTCAACTGGCGAACTTCCTTCCGTAGTTCCTCACTGCACAGAACAATATTTAGTTAAATTCAATTTTCTTTAAAAAAATAAAGTTAGAGGAAAATAGACACAAATTTAATAGTTGATGAATCTGTATTCAGACATGATAATCATAATTAGATTCTGTCAGGTTTGATTGAAGTCAACTGTCTTCAGCCTACACAATTTCAAAAACTGAATAGGCAGAAACTCTAATATAACAGTAAATCAAACTATTAATTAAAGAAAACATCTTAACTGGACATTATAAAAGGTTCTGAACTTCACTAAATCCCAGCCAGTAAAATTTTTCAGCTGCTTCTTTAAACTGAAGCAACCAAGCAACTGTTCTGGTAGATTACCTTTCATTTTGATCCCTATGAATTGACTACTTAACACATTACTTAAATATAGGATTATCATCAAACACACTAATAAGTATTTCCCAGTGGCTACTCTGAAGTGTGAATGCCTCTGATGTGTGAATGCCTCTTACATCTGCCCCTAGAAAGATAACCTTGGATTATAGGTTGCAATAGCTCCAAAGATTTTTTATAAAATGGTCTGGCACTCCAATTCCAAAATTCATTTACAAATAACCAAATTGAGAAGTAAAATTTCCTAGTGATTACCAAGAAAACCTAAGGAAAAGGCCTTTGTTTTTCACAAATAAAGATGAACTTTTAGCACCAAATAAAAAAATAGCAACAGCAATCTCAGGTGGCATATACATTTAATAAATTATCTTCACTTCATCATCACCTGTCATGTTTTTAGTTTAAATTTTATGTATGTTTAATCTATGTGATCATTTTGTTCTCTCTTTTACTTTCCAATACTAAGAGTTGTTTTCTAGTGCAAAGTTCTCCAAGCTTTCAGTATGTATACATATTTGAATTTGCAAACTAGTCTATGAAATCTGACAAAAAGCAGAATTTAAAATCAATTTTAAAAAATCAACAAAAGCTATAAAGTGAAGGGATACAGGTATGATGGGAAAGTTATCCTGTTAACCCCAGGGTATTTTGTTGGATACAATAGAGAGGCTTCTGTATTGTCCTCTATTCTATGCTGGGATCTTCTATGGGTAAACTAATGACCTCACATCCAGGGATATTTCATTCAGAATTTACCACTATAGAGTTAAAGAGCATTACTCAAGAGCAGGCAGCCAAATCTGAAATAATAGATGCATTAAAGGGCATTGTCAGTGCTGTGGGGTTAAGCTAACACAGCACATTCCAGGATTAGCTCTGACTGTAACTATTTGCTCTAAGTTTTCATAATGGTAATTCAACTTCATTTTAATAAATAAAAGCAACAATGACAAAATGAGACTTAAACAAAAGATTTGCATTTCTTTTCTTATTTGAAACTGAATACTTAATAAGAAGTTATGTTATCCTTAGATGACATCAGGGGCATATTTTATTAATTACCAAAGAGGCAAAATAATAACTTTCAGGAATAAAAATAGATGTCACTAAGCAGTCTAGGCAAAAAGAAAAAAAATGCTGGGTAGAAATCTAATGCTGCAGCTCTATGTGTATTTACTAGGGGAATAAGCCAAACTGAACTCAAATGGGTTTTTCTTCTGAATAAGCATGCATGTGACTGCATATGCATGATAACATTGCTTTTTCTTTGTGGGTGTGAAACAGCACTGTGGATTTATTGACACAGACTTTAAACCACTCACTCCCCAGCCACAGGAAATCACTGAAATTGCATTTCTCTGAGGAGGTCCCAATATCTCAACAAAATGTCAGCACTCCCAACATTCTTTCTTAGAATGCTGACTGCAACATTTGCATATCTACAAATATTGTAGATTTGAAAATATTGTAGATTAGAGTAGTGTAGATTTACTCTTATTAAGTATTTACAGCACAACTCAAATAGAAAATGATGATTTTTCAATTCATTCTGCTTACACCAACCTCAATTAAGTACAGGTAACTCCTCGACTTATGACTAAGATGGAGCCCAAAATTGGTATTGTTAAGTGAGACATTTGTTAAATGAGTTTTGCCCTGTTTTTACCACCTTTCTTGCCTCAGTTGTTACGTGAATCACTGCAATTGTTAAGTCAGTAGTCCAGTTTTTAAGTGAATCTGGCTTTCCCATTGTTTTTCCGTCAGAAGGTCACAAAAGATGATCACATGACCTTGGGACACAGCAATAGTCATAAATATGAGTCAGTTGCTAAGTGTCAAATTTTGATCACATGATCATGGGGATACTGCAAAGATCGTAACTGAAAAATGGTCATAAGTCAGAGCCATTATAACTTTGAATTGTCATTAAATGAACTGTTATAAGTCAAAGACTACCTGTATGTTAAGCTGTCATTGATTGGACTGTAATGTTAATTACCTGCTTAAATTCTTCCTGAAAATTATCCAAAATTGAAATTGTAGCTATTGACAAGGTTGTGTTTTTATTTTGGGGGAATGTTCTTCATGATTTGTCATGCAATTAATATTTTATGCAGAACAATTAAATGTTACTTGATTTAATCAGTGGGTTTAGTACACTCTTTTGAAGCTTGATGTTTCTGAGACAATAAGAATATTTGGTTATTATTATTTCAAGTATACCTTCAATAGGACTCATAGTTTAACTAGGAGAGAAAGTTCATATTGATTATCAGCTATACAAATATATTTTCTTCTTTTAATTTAATTAAGTAAATATAGATCCTGGGAAGATGAATCAGTTATTAACTGCACAAACAATTAAGTCAAGTGTGTTCTTGATTTGGGATGTTGTGAGAGAAGCCACTTAACTATTAACTCATTTCCCCTATCAAAATCATACCTGGTGTACAGGAAACTGATTATTAACTCTACAAATATTTTCCTTTAAAAATTATTTAACTAAATGTAGATGTTGGGAAGATGAATAGATTGTTAACTGTATAAACACCCCAGTCAAGTGTGTTCCTGGGCTGAGATGTTGGAAGAGAATAATTTCTTAACTATTATCCCATTTCCCCTTTCAAGAACCTACTTGATTTGTATATTTCTGCTCCAGTAGCAGAGATGGTAGTCAGGGACTGTTGATTATAAAAATTAACCTCTGTATTGAGAATGTATAGGTATATGCATAAAAATTTAACTTACCACTCTCAAACATAATGCACAAAATCAATATATCGAATATATCATTCCAGTTCAACTATATTTCATTAAAATGTACAAACATTGGAAAAATGTAGTCAGGAACTTCTGAGCATTATATATTTCGTTGTATTTTCCTCGGAACTGTTTTATTATTGGAAATAATAAAGCAAAGTGAATCATGATTAAGAGGTGAATATTTTAGGATAAATGTCATGAAAGAAAAGCTTGGACTTTTTTCTTTATAGACATCAGCACATGCAAAAATTAAAAGAGAATGTCCTCTACCCCGAACAAATTAATCATGTGAAAATATAGTTCACAGACTGATAATTATATGAAAATAAAATGATAATAAGAATTTAATAATGGAGGCAATCATTTCTTACTAGTTAAAACATAGCAGAAATAATTATTAATTAACTGGAAAACCTGCGTCTGTTGTGAAACTAAACTATTGTTCAGTAGAGTTTTAAATGATTGATTTAATCAACTTCTCCGAACTACTCAAAATTTCCACTACCGGTTCTCCAGAACTGGTCAGAACTTGTGGAATACTACCTCTGCTGTCTTTTTATCAGGAACTCTTGTACGCAGTGCTTTTTTCTCCCATTTTTCATTGATAAAAGCTCTTTGATATCGATTGGGCTGAAAGAGTACAATTTGCTCAGAGTTAACCAACAAACATGACTGACAGCAAACTTAAAGCTGGGTCTCACCAGTACGATCCAACATCTTAATTACCACACCACACTGGCTATTTTAATATCTTATTTGTTATTTTAATAAAAACTCATCCATTGACAGAGGCTTTTACCTGGGGAAAAGGAAGCATATTATATTGCTATTTATTTGCGAATGTTTTGTTTAAGTGTAAAAAAAAGTGTTTGAGCTGTAATATGTGTGTTGATACATTTGTAATGTCTACTGTTCACTATTTTCTGGATTATTGTAATGAATTCAAGATTAAACCCTTACCATTATCTAAGAATAAAAATTGCCAAATCCTTTCCTTGTATGCATCTTGTGAAGTTTCTAAGAAAAGTGCCATAGCAAATTTTTGCTTATTGTGTATATTGCTTTTACATTTTTACAAAACAGACCTTATTTATTTCCCACAGTATGAGTATTTTGGATTATTCAAAAAGTGCTGTTACTGCATATTTTAATGTTTTTTCTTGATACGACTCATGCAGCAAACATAACAAAACAAAAATAGTATATAGTATATATAAAATATATCCCTCTCCAAGTTTTCCTGAGTTTCAAATAGCCATACCCAACCAACATGACTAGCAAATGGGTACAGAGATTGTAGAGCAAAGCTTATGCCACTCCAAAACTAGATTTGTCTCAAAGAAGAGATCCCACAAATAAATTATACACTAAAGTGAGCAAAAATATAAACCCAGAAACTGGATTGCTAAGATTTTACATCAAAATCCCGCAAAAGTTGCTGAACATTTTACATTACCTGCCTATCACACTTAACAGAGATTTGCCACCAAGGTTGTGCATTTGGCTGACTTCAGCAGATTGGGGCATGAAACCTCTCCCTAACCCAATCCTCCTAATATTCATAGCTTCAGACTTTATTATCTCTACTAGCTGTCTGCTGACAGAATGTCTTACTCAACAGGTCTCACCTTTGACTAGTTCAGATTCATTGGCAGGCTAAGAAGATTTACTTTAGAACTTGAAGAATGTATTTGTCTTTGCTATTTGGCAAATAAATATTACTCATTTTATTTGCTGTTCATCATTAAGTGTTTTATTAACAAAGATTCAGAACGATCCTTGGAGGCAAGTCTTCTTTCTACTGAAATTAGGAAGCCAATGTAAAACAAAAGTAATATAAATTACTTTTGCAGGTGTTATCTACTAACGATACCTGTAATCTGA